TGAGGAATGGAGAAAGACTTTTGAGTTGTTTAGGGGCAGTGGGAGTTGGAGAAAGGCTCTGGTGAGAGAGGGAATGCTTCTATCTGAGGTCTGGAGGGTGAAGCAGTTCCAAGTGAAGGCGCTGCTAAGGGGCAGTGGGAAGGACGCTAACATTTGCTGAGCATCCACCTAGCACTGCCGGGCACTTCACAGCCCCCAGCTCACCGAATGCACACCGCATCCTTGCAAGGATGTACTCCGGTGCTGTCTAGAGATGAGAAAGGAGGCTCAGAGGAGTTAATTTGCCCTAGAACATAGTCAGCAAGAAGCTGAGCAGTCTTAAATCAGATTTGACTCCAAAGTATCTTTCCACTACACTTGTCTGCTTTACTATCAACTCAGGAACCCAAAAACCAACCAAACCAGTTGTGGTCCGGTTAAGATTCTGACTTATGGTGACCCCATGTGTTGTAGAGTACAACTGCACGTCATAGTGTTTTTGTAACCTTCCAGTAGATTGTCAAGCCTTTCTTCTGAGGTGCAGCTTGTATGCTGTTGTTGGTTCTGACTCATAGCAATTCTGTATGAGGTTTCCGAGAGCAGCTGGTGGTTTTCAACTGCTGACCTTGCAGTTAGCAGTCCAGTGCTTATCCTACAGCACCACACCAAGGCCTGAGATGTTTCTAGGTGGGTTCAAAACACTACCCTTTTGGTTAGTAGGCTAGCACTTGGCAATCTGTGCCACCCAGAGGCCATCGTTTTTTGGGATTCCACATCCACATATGTGGGAGACATCTAAGTTACTGGTGATGAAAAGGCTAATGTCTGGGGAGGTGCCCTGTTGTTGTTGTTGTTAAGTGCCGTCGAGTCGGTTCCGACCCATAGCGACACTGTACAGGGTTTCCGAGGGTGTAAATCTTTACGGGAGTAGAAAGCCTCATCTTTCTCCCGCGGAGCAGCTGGTAGTTTCGAACCGCTGACCTTAAGGTTCGCAGCCCGATTCGTACCTAGGTGCCCTAGGGAATGGAAAGTGCAGTCCAAGCAGATAGCCATGCTTCAAGAGCAAGACAAGACAGGGAATGCAAGTGACAGAAAGTAACTATAGCTGCTGTATCCTGGTGCCATGACTTGTGGGAAAGTGAATGCTGTTTAAGGGGTTTTTGAAGTAATTGGTTTCAACTTGAGGGGAGAAAATTTGGGAAGTTGCAGCGCTCAAGTTCAAAGGGTGTTCGCTTCCTCCACACACATCTAGGGAGTTAGGAAAGGTGAGCGGTAGACAGGGCTGTGGGAAGTGGGTGAGGCTGAGTTCACAGGTATGAGGAAGGGACTCAGCTCCAGTAGGGTTCAAGTACATTATGAGTTCCAACTGTAAGGCCAGAGTTGGGAGTCAAAACAAAAAGGCACCATCAGGCAAGTATTGCCTAAATGCACCCTCATCCCTTTCCTTCTCCCTCCCCTGACCCACATGTAGGGTAAATCTTAAGCAATCAGGTGGACTAGAAACCATGCTTTGAAAACAGTAACAGAAGCTAGTATTTACCACTGTGTACCAGACACTCTGTAACAGTAATTGGTTTCATCTTCGGCACCAACTTGACGGCACGTAATAATGGAGAATGACAGAGATTCTAGCTTTAATGGTGGTGGTGGTGGTATGCCTTGGAGTTGATTGCGACTCATATCGACCCTGCATAGGGTTTCCGATGCTGTAAATCCTTACAGGAACAGAAAGCCTCATCTTTCTCCCATGGAAGAGCTGGTAGTTTTGAACTGCTGAACTTGAGGTTAGCAACCCAACTCATAATCACTGTTACCAGAGTTTCTTCTAGATTTAATAGCACCCTGTTATAAGGCAAAAAACTTGCAGACCCAAAATATCAAGGGGATCCTGTTGAGTTCTGGCTGCCACAGGCTTCGTAGTACTAGATTTCACATGCACACAGAGAAGGCCTTACAAATCTTCCTTGTTAGATAACAGCAGGCTCTGAAGGTAAGGACAGACAGTGGGGACGAGAAAGGCAGGCAGAGAACTTTCAGAAATGAAAACATGAGCAAACACCCTATGGGAGGAATGTCAACAGTCCAGATCTGTTAGATCTGAGACTCTCCTCTAGTCATTCCTTTATAAAGACAGAGGCCTTTCCTAGCAGAAGTGACAAATCCTGTAAGAAGTTGAGTTACTCTGGCAAGAAAATATTCTTTCAAAATACACTCCCATGGGGCTGGGAGTGCAAATATGTGATGACACCTATCTTGTTTCAGGTGCTTCATACACAAAACCAATTCTGAGGCAGACCGTTATCACCTTCATGTAGTAGGGGAAAGACTAAAGCTCAGGGGAAGCTAAAAACCTTCTATTCAGACTCACCAGCTCTATTACACAGCACTGCCTGAGTTGTCATTTTCCCCAGGAACACACTTTAGTTCCTTTGCTCTTCTTGATGTGAAGTCCCCGGGTGATATATAAGATTAACATACTCAGCTAAATGAAAGGTTGGAGATTCAAGTTCCCCCAGGGGTGCCTTAGAAGGCCTAGTGATCTACTTTTTAAAAAGCAGCCACTGAAAACGTATAGAGCTCTGACACACAGAGGGTTGCTGAGTTGGTATTGATTGGATGGCAGGAAACCAGCTAACTGGTCTCTTGATTCTCCTTGGTTTCTGGGCTATGCAATGCTTTCTCTTTCCCATTGTTTTCCACCTCTTTCTTTAAACATAAGAAAACTATCTACCCCATCTTTCCTAGACAGAAAAGATCCACAGCTTGATATATGTATTTTTTGTTATAAAACATTTAATGTTAACCTACAATACAATGTAAACTTTTATGAAAAAAATTTTAAGTACACTAGATTTCTTCCGTAAATGATCACAGAACTATTCAGGTGCAGTACAAGTTGGGTCACTGCATCCCTCGTGGATTTCCTGTTGCTGCATTCCTCCTCAATCCTAAAAACACCAGTTGTAAAGTGGAGCTCCTTGTTCAAGCACCAGGTAATTCTCACTTGATTTTGCATTCTGGAGGCGGAGATCGTCACTCCTTCCCAACATCAATTTCTGAACCGCTTTCCTTGGCCTTGGCACCATTAGCAATTTTATAATGACTGCTCAAGTTAGAAATCCCAGGTTCTTTTTAGTTTCTTTAAATCTCTTACCCAAATGTCATAGTAGAGGAAAGCAAGGAGAAATTTAAAAATTGACACAGGATATTGTAGAAAAAGACCAGAAGTGCCCCATTGAGGCTGCAAACATTCAACTGACTCCAACTGGGTATCTTGGCTTGGTCATTTCCCATGGTTGTACAGTGTAATCTACAGTTGGTCTGGGGAGTGCAGAACAAAACTGGAAACAACAGCTGAAATATCCCAGAAATGATTTGGGAACACAAGTGATGGCTCACGGATCCCTAGCCCCTCAGGTCCCCTTGCACTCCCAGAGGTCCCTGGGAGTCACATGCAGATCATACTGGCATTATGCAACAATGAAGCCCATCTCTCCCTAGGCAGCAGCACAAGTGGGCTCCAAGCCAAGCAGGAATGTTTCTAAACGGGCTGGGAAGGAGCCAGAGTTTCAGGTGAAGTCTCTTGAGACGGAAAGTGAATGGGTAGGCCATCCCAAGGACTGTACTGACATAAGCAGAGATTTTCCTTAATATTCTGACATCTGACCTCCTTCACTCAACAACTGTTATCAAAAGGCAAGAGGCATAAAGTGCACATTGTAAAATAAGATGCAGATCGATTACGGAAACAAAAAATACGACTTCCCCAAAGAGGTGTGGGCAAGATGCTGCTGGAGAGCACCAAAGCTTTAGAGAGAATAAGAAGGAAGGTCCTTTCCCTCCTGTGTGCTGCCAGGGAAACAGCCAGAACTCCCGGCAGGGAGGCTGACTGTGAGCTGAGTGGAAAAATTCCTCTTTGCATGGTTGTCAGCGGGAAGCAGACTTCACAGAGGGCTGAGTGGAGAAGAGTTTATCCTGTTAGTCACTCCAGATACATCTGACAATAGTCAGAGAGCAACTTCCTGCTCATCTAGCCTAAGGATGGCAGGAAGCAGAGAGTCAGAACAGGCATCCAAGAGCAGAACCCACTTCCTAGAGATGGTGAGCTGGACACCTGTGCCAAGGCCACTGGGGAATTCTCTGGCTCTCCAGGTGACATCCTAAAACCCCTCTCCCTGGCCAGTGGTCTTTCCCCTACAACTGAGGGCTGCAGAGAACATGAGCCATAGGATTGCTACTTTCCAGTGTGCTTAGAGTGACAGAAACCTCAGGAGTCTACAGTGTTACAACAGGTCTGCACCAGTCTAACTAGAGATCACTTTGGAATACTTGTCAGCTCACACTGGCATCTGCTAATACATGGCCAGACCCATGTACCCATGACCATAAACTCAACCACATACGAGACATCCAGCGTTTCAAAAACCCTATTACTTCAATACAGCAACAGAGGAGGATAAAAACTGCCTCCAGCAGGTGGCTCTATCAGAAACTGAAACGTGCCTTTCAACAGTTTACACAGCTGGGAGCCCTACCGTGGCTCCCTTCAAGGCCTTGGTTCTTTCTATACTTAAGGGAAAAAGAAAACAGAAAAACACACACACACACACACACACACACAGAGGCAGGGCACTCTCCCGTGGCTCTGCTGGCTCCACCACAGGTCCTGCTGGTCCTCTGGAAGGGCACCCAGCTTGGCAATTCAGGAGAGTTGAGGGCTGGGAGGAGCAGCATACACATGTCAAAAGAGGAATGGAGACTTGCTATCCGTCAGTTCGGACCCTGTAGTACCACCTTGTACAGATGTCAAGGAAAAGCTGCCGCCAGGTGACTAGGTGAGTAGACAAGGAACTCACAGCGCACAGGTGGGTCTGTCTGTACAGATGTTGCTTTTGTTGGGCTATGGGACCACATTTCCTGCAACTGCTCCAAGTTGGGTGCATAGGTGGCAAACAAGGACAGCAAGATTTGGACCAAAAAGAACTGTCTCTCTGGGAACTTGAGAGGGACAATGGCAGAAATAAGCCCAAACCAGCCCAGGCACCTTTATTACACTCTTGGGGGCCAACGAGCTGGGGCTTGAACTTGTGGGTTTAAGAATTGATTCTTTATCAAATAAAGTTAAGAAAGAAAGAAAGGGAAAAAAAACACAACAAAACACCTGTCAGCCTCTTTCCTTTGGTCATTATAAAGCAACCAATAAGAATTAAAAATTATTAAATCAATTGTGGGAAGTTCAGGGAACACTTTGTTTTGTCCCTTCTCTTCCTTTCTTCTCCAGAGGCCGAAGAAGCAGGTCCTCAGGAGATCTGCAGTAGCTGGTTCATGAAGGTTTTTCATTTTCAGTTTCCATAAATGCAAGAATGAATGAAAATTGGTGGGACTGGCCCCTTCCCCAGTCCTGACAGTGTATGAGTGGCAGGTGAAGAGTCTCCTTTTGGTAGCAGACGCGTGGTGCAGAGCAGGAGGGAAGGGAGCTTGCCGAGCGGGTCCGTTTGTTGCTAACCTCTCTCGCACACACACAGGCTGTGACTCTTGCAGGCAGCATGGTTTCTGATCCTTCCTTAGGATGCAGCAGTTTTTTTAAAAAAAATATTGTATTATAATAATAATAATAATAATATGAATTTCTCTCTCTTTTTTTTTGTTGTTGTCTTTTTGTTTGCTTTGTTTTTTCCATTTCTTTTAGGGGCTGGGGTGGGAGGAGAAAGGAAGAAAAAGTGTCATTCATCTGTTAGGTCCTGAACAAAGAGAACTTCTGTGTGGCTGAGTCCGGCCTCCTGCAGTGAAGGAGGGTTGGGCCACTCCTCTGAGGGGACACAGGGCAGCACTCGTCTGGGAAAGTTGGCTTCAATCTGAAACTTTTCAGGGCTTTCTTTCAAGGAGAATAAGAAATCGTGGATTACCTGCAGAGGTCATGGAGAAAAAGGGCAATGAGAAAAAGACACTGAGAAGTCAAAACGCCTCCAAGCTTTCCTCAGGGATGATTCTGGGATCTGAAGTAATCACATTATACTGGAATTCTACTTCTGGGTATTTCCACTTCACAAGGCAAATAATCGGGACAGCCATTTTAAGACAGATGTATTACACAGACATAGTGCTAGTTCTAACCTCAACTGGTTCAACTGTTCCTTCAACAACTTTTGATTATCATGCTAAAAACATTGCTTACTTAGAAATAATCATCGCCCTAGAATTTCTGAGGATGCATTTTTCCACAAACATTTTAAAGCCCTCTGGTATGTCTCAAAAACAAGGTCAACCCTCAAAATCAGGAAATGAACACAGACCCAATATTACCATCATATAATAAGATGCCACTCATGTTTTACCAGCTATCTTTCATCACACAAGAATCCGCTTTAGAATCAAATGTTGCATTTTTGTTGCCAACTCTCTTTAGTCCCATCTTAGACTGTAACAAATCCCCAATCTTTTGTTGACTTTCATGACCTTGACATTTTTATTTTGTAGAATGTCCTTCAATTTGTATATTCCAGTTAGGCATCTTTGGCAGGCATATTGTAGAAATTATTCATGTTCTGCCCACCATTCAAGTGAAATGAGCACACTGTCAATTTGTCCAATTACCTGTGATGTTTATTTTGATCACCTGAGTTTCTACCAGGCTTTTGAACTCTAAGTTATTCTTTTTTGCCTTTTGTAATTATTTTTTTATGGGAAATACTTTAAAACTATGAAGACATTTTGTTACTCAAACTTTCAATCCATTCATTTATTTATATCAATATGGATTCACAGTTCCCTATTTTATATGAGGGCTATGTTAGTTAAAATCATTAAAAATTTATTTGAACATTGCAGCTGTTCCAGATGGAGTCAGAATGAGCCTAATCAAGATGGTGCCTGTGTCTTTTTTGACATATCCCCATAATTGTGTGAGTATTTTCTTAAGTTTCCCTACCCAAGCACTGAATCCCACCTCTCAGCTGTCAGTTTGTTTTACTGTGGTGGCTTGAGTGTTGCTGTGATTCTGGAAGTTATGCTATGGGTTTTTGAATACCAGCAGGGCCACCCATGGTGGACAGGTTTCAGATGAAGACAGACTAGGAAGGAGCGGTGAACTACTTCTCAATATTTACTTACTGAAAACCTTATGAAGACATAGTGCTGGAATATGAGCCTCTCTGGTTGGAAGGCACGCAAAATGCGACTGAGGAAGAGCTGCCTCCTCAAAGGAGAACTGATTGTGATGATCAAATGGAGTAAAGCCCTTGGGACCTTCATTTGCTGATGGGGCACAACTCAAAATGAAGAGTAACAGCTGTAATCTGTTTGAGTTATAAATGAATTTGGAGTATGAATAATTGGAACATGGAATGTATTAAGTATGAACCTAGGAAAATTGGAAATTGTCAAAAATGAAATGGAACATATAAACAAATATCCAAGGAATTAGTGAACTGAAATGGATTAGTATTGGCCACTTTGAATCTGACAATCACATGGTTTACTATGCCGGGAATGACAACTGAAGAGGAATGGTGTCGCATTCCTCATCAAAAAGAACATATCAAGATCAATCATGAAATACAGTACTGTTTGTAATAGGCTCATATCCATACGCTTATAGGGAAGACCAGTTAATACCACTTTTACCCAAATGTACGCACTAACCATTAAAACCAGTGATGATGAAATTGAAGAATTCTACCAACTTCTTCAGTCTGAAATTGATCAAGCATGCAATCAAGATGTATTGGTCATTACTGGTGATTGGAAAGCAAAGGTTGTAAACAAAGAGGAAGAATCAGTAGTTGGAAAATATGGCCTTGGTGACAGAAATGATGCTGGAGAACGCATGATAGAATTCTGCAAAATCAATGATTTGTTCACATTTCAAATACCTTCTTTAGACAGCATAAGAGACCTCACCAGATGGAATACACAGAAATAAAATTGACTGTATCTGTGAAAAGAGATGGTGGAAAACCTCCATATCATCAACCAAAACAAGGCCAGGGGCAGACTGTGGAGCAGACGATCAACTGCTCATTTGCATATTCAGACTGAAGCAGAAGAAAATGAAAACAAGTACACAAGAGCCAAAATATGAACCTGAATATATCCCACCTGAATTTAGACATCATCTGAAGAAGACATTTGATGTTTTAGACACTTAAGACTGAATACCAGAACAGTTGTAGGATGACATCAAGGACATCATACAAGAAGAAAGCAAAAGGTCATTAAAAAGACAAGAAACAAGGAAAAGACCAAATGGATGTCAGAAGACACTCTGAACCTTGCTCTCCAGTGTAGAGATGCTAAAGCAAACAGGAGAAATGAGGAAGTACAAGAGCTGAACAGAAATTTCAAAGGTCAGCTCAAGAAGACAAATTCAAATATTATAACAAAATGTGCAAAGACCTAGAGTTGGAAAACCAAAAGGGAAGAACACACTCAGGATTTCTCAAGCTGAGGGAACAGAAGAAAAAATTCAAGCCTTGACCTATGGTATTGAAGGATTCTCTGATGATGCAGAAAGCATCAAAGGAAGATGTAAGGAATACACAGAATTCTGTACCAAAAAGAAATAGTCGATGTTCAACCACTTCAAGAGGTAGCACATGATCAAGAGCCAATGATAGTGAAGAAAGAAATCCAAGGTGCACTGAGGACATTGGCAAAGAACAAGGCACTGGGAAATGATGGAATACAAACTGATATTGTTCAGCAACTGATGCGGCACTGGAGGCACTCACTCACCTATGCCAAGAAATTTGTAAGACAACTATTTGGTCAACTGACTGGAAAAGATGTGTATTTGTGCCCATTCCAAAGAGAGGTGACCCAACAAAATGCGGAAAGCATCGGACAATATCATTGATATCCCATGTGTGTAAAGTTTTAGTAAAGGTAATACAAAAACGGCTGCAAGCATACATTGACAGAGAACTTCCAAGAGGTTCAAGCTGGATTCAGAAGAGGATATGGAATAAGGGATATCACTGCTGATGTCCGATGGATCTTGACTGAAAGTAGAGAATACCAGAAAGATGTTTACCTGTGTTTTACTGACTACACAAAGACTTTGTGTGGATCATGACAAGCTATGGACAACACTGCGAAGTATGAGTATTCCAGAACACTTAATTGTGCTCATGAGGAATCTGTACATGGACCAAGAGGCAGTTGTTCGAACAGAACCTGGGAACACTGAATGGTTTAAAATTCAGAAAGGTGTGCGACAGGGTTGTATTCTTTTACCATACTTATTCAACCTGTATGCTGAGCAAATAATTCGAGAAGCTGGGTTCTATGAAGAAAACATGGCATCAGCATTGGCGGAAGACTCACTAACAACCTGTGATATACAGATAATATAATCTTACTTGCTGAAAGTGAAGAGAATTTAAAATACTTACTGATGAAGATCAAAGACCACAGCCTTTGATATGGATTGTATCTCAGTGTAAAGAAAACAAAAATCCTCACTACTGGACCAACGAACCACATCCATGTAAATAGAGAAAAGACTGAAAGTTGTTGAAGACTTCATTTTGCTCAGATCAACCATCAACACTCGCAGAAGCAGCAGTCAAGAAATCAAACGACTTACTGCATTAAGTAAATCTGCTGCACAAGACCTTTTTAAAGTGTTCGTGAAGAGCAAAGATGTCAGTTTGAAAACAAAGGTGCACTTGACCCAAGTCATGGTATTTTCAATATCCTCATATTGAAAATAGAGGGAATAGGGAACAGTGAATAGGGAAGACCATAGAAGAATGATGCATTTGAGTTGGAGGAAAATATAAAAAATATCATGGACTGCCAAAAGAGTAAACAAATCTGTGTTGGAAGAAGTACAACCAGAATGATCCTTGGAAGCCAGAAAGGCCAAACTTCGTCTCTCATACTTCAGACATATTATCAGGAGGGACCAGCCACTGGAGAAGGATATCATGTTTTATAAAGTAGATGGTCGGAAAAGAAGAGGAAGACCCCCAACAAGATGGATTGGCAGAATGATAGCAGTGATAGGCTCAGGCATAGAAACAATTGTGAGGATAGCCTAGGACTGGGCAGTGTTTCGTTCTGTTGTGCACAGGGTTGCTACGAGTCGGTGCTGACTCAATGGCACCTAACAACAATCAACAACAAGCCCTGAATTAACTACCTCTCTAAGGTGCCCCCTGGACCTTCTTAGTTGGGAATAGCATCTAGAAGTCAAGATCTAGGTGCTGGGTATGCTCACTGTTACTGAGGTGTTGTGGGTTCCAGGCACTCTGTGAATAAAGGTAGGGAATATGTGTATTTACGTGTGTGCATGCACATAACACACATCTAAATTTCAATACACATCTATGTTGAAAACCACAGTTTATTCCCCTCCCCACATGTACCCCACCCTGCTCTGGGAGACATGGTGGCAACTCTAGGACATGCACTGGACTGCTAACCAGTCAGTAGCTCAAATCCTCCAAGCTCTCGCTGAGAAAGGTGAGGCTTTGTGCTCCTGTAAACATTTGCAGCCTTGTCAACCCTTTATAGGGTTGCTATGGGTTGGAATTGACTCAGTGGCAGTTGGTTTTGTTTTGTTCACCCTGCTCTGACTTGGACATCAAGTAATATTGGGTCATTTGGATTATGACTTCTGTACACATGTTGGAACCCTCCTTAACGTGATCGAGATTTGACACCCTTCACCTAGACTGCCACTCGATGGAATATCCTTCTCACCAGGCTCTGGTTCCCACAAGGCATAGAGATTTCACTGTTTAGATTTAAAATGGGAACGAGACACCTATGGCTAAGCCAGCCCAGGTCTCCCTGCCTCTGACTTGTGCCACATGTGAAGAGCAGAGCACTGGATATGTCGTATGGCCTCTCTATCAAGCATTCTGTGTCTAAAAAGTCCAAGGGATTTGTTGTAAAGGGAACGGCTCATCACTTTGTAATCAAGGCGCTATGGGTTAATGTGCTTGATTGCAAGGTTGGTTGTTCAAGCTTAGCAGCCGCTCCTCAAAAACCCTATAGAGGGTCACTATGAGTCGGAACTGACTCGATGGCACTAAACAACACCACAAGTTTTATGGGAAGCTACTTGTATTTTCTTTTTGGCTCATCTTTCAGAATGATGGATTCTCCAGCTCTGTGTGAAGCCTCAAACTTGCCTCTTTAGAGATCTTAAGGGGCTACAATTCCAGAATTTAGGGAGTAAATCCATGATTTTATAAACTTCTCATAATTCAGTCTTCCATCAGCCTCAGTTCCTGACTCTGCAGTGTCTACAATGTTCTGTTTCCTTTTCTTGAGATGCTTTATTTTGATTTGTACAAAATATTCTTGGTACAAACCCAAAATGTATTTTATATAAGGATGAAATAATACTTTGTTTCCTTTTCAATCAGTCACTGCTACAGAATATCCAACATTCAAAGCTGGCATGTTATTGTTTGCCTCTGACAACAGGCTGCTATCTTCAGCTAGCAGATTAAGTCATCTTGAGATGTTCCTTTTGGTTTATAATAGATAGAAAAGTGAGTATTATTTGGGTCTTCTCTCATATGCATTCATTCAAAAGAAAGCCAGCTGACACATTTCTGCCCATTCATAAAACCTGGAGGTTTTCCTACAGTTTATCCTTTGTTAGAGCTGATTTGGTTGGTTGGTTATGTGCCGTGGAGTCAGTTCCAACTCATAGTGACCCTGTACAGGGTTTCCAAAGCTGTAAATCTTTATGGGAGCAGAAAATCTCATCTTTCTCCACTGGAACAGTAGGTAGTTTCAAACTGCTGACTTTGAAGTTAGCAGCATTACTCTTAATGCTACCAGAGCTCCTTAAGAGCTGCCTTGCATCTACAAATGCAATGCTTCATTGTACATTCACCCTTTAAGCTAAATTACAGAGGGGATAGTGCACAGAAGATAATGACATGAAATCTACAAGAATACTATAAGAACTGTACATAGTTTGGTTACGCTGGGATCTCTGTGAGTACTAAAGGGCAGCTCTGCCACCACACTTTTTCCCAATCTCTGAGCCTAGTATTATTTACAACCAAACATTTCTCAGTATCAGGTTGTTTTTTTTTCAGTAGTTTTTTTTTGTGTGTGAGGAAGCTACTTAAAAGCCTTAAAGGACTCAACAGTTAATAAATGGCTTCTTTTTAACCACAAAACCACTCTCTTTCACAATTCTACTAGATTTCTCCTCAAAAATTCTCAAGACTAAATACTGGTTAGCTTTTCATGTACATTTTTTCCTAGGAATGCTTTGGAGGTAGAAGTTCCTTAAAGCTCAGGTGCATGTGGCTATCCCTCTAAAACAGTGATAGTGAGATAATTAAAGAAATATGGCTGTGAGCTAGGCTCTACATGCAAACTAGTGGTTAGAAAACACACCTCGTTTCCTAACTGGTCTATGAAAGCGGACAACCTACTACACGACAAGTGCTGTGTAAGACACAATCTAGTTATCCAAATTAAAAGAGAGGGAGAGAGAAGTCCTTAGCTTGAGATATGAGTAGCTCTCTATTATAAAAAATGCACAAATGAGCAATAAACAAATGAAGTGAGAGAGCGATTTCATCACTAGGATATCAAAGAAGTTTTTACTCTGTCCTAGTTTTGAGTCTCACATTCCCGCCTGGCCAGAACATGTATTACTCATTCGTGTAACTCCTAAGGTGCTACAATGTGCCTCACAGCCACTGATCTTCAGTTTAAAGTTACTGAGGACAGATTATCTGTCCATTTTACAAATGGGAAAGGTTTTTAACTTGTCTAATGTCTCCAGTGGGGGTCCTGGGGTGGCGCAGTAGGATAAGCACTGAAGCGCAAATCGTGAGCTTGGCAGTTCACACAGACAAACCACTCTGTGGGACAGAGATAAAGCTTTCAGCTCCTGCAAAGATTTCCAGACTTGGCAATTTTATACAGGGTCACTCGGAGTCGGGATCGACTCAATGGCAGTGGGTTTAGATCTTTTTGGTTAATGTCTCCAGTTAAGTAAGAAGACTCAAAAGAATGAAACTTTCTTTTCATGTCTGAAAAGAAAGTCATCACACATGACAACAGTGCTTCCTCATTTCTATTATGTGATTTACTCTTGAGTATCTGAAGTCCTGGTGTGGCATGGTGGGCTAATGTGTCAGACTGCAAAGTCATTTGAACTGCAAGGTTGGTGGTTCAACTTCACCAGCCGCTCCTTGGAAACCCTATACAGGGTCGCTATGGGTAGGAACTGACTCGACTCGACGGCACTTAACAATAACAATCTTGAGTCACCAGGGAAATGGCAGGATCTACTGTAGCATAGTGGCTACCAATTGGGCTGTTAACCTCAAGTCTAGCAGTTCAAACTACCAGCTGTTCTGTGGGAGAAAGAGGAGGTTTTCTGCTCCCATGAAGATTTATAGCCTCAGAAACCCAGTACAGGGTCCGTATGAGTTGGAACCGACGCCATGGCACAGCACCACCACCACCGCTATAGTTGTGAATTTGGGAAGGCAGCATACCAATTCGCAATATGGTATGAGGACACTAAGGTTTTAACGAATTCTACAAACTCATTAAGAAAACACATCGAATAGGCTTGAAAGAATTAAAGTTTGATGCCCATTCTGTAAGACTCTTAAGAATCTGCTTTTAACTACTTCCCATTCCTTTCAAGAGGAAGTGGAAGACTATGGAAAAACAAATACTGTTTACCTGTGGATTCCAAGGACTCCCTGGGTGGCGCCAACAGTTAAGCGCTAAAGAACTAAATGAAAAGTTGGTGGCTCGAATCCATACCGAGGGGCTTGGAAGAAAGGCCTGGTGAACACACCCGGTTGCCACAAGCCAGAATTGACACAATGACAACTAGTATTTTTCTCTTAAAATGGATACCAAGTATGTAAAATAGCTTCAAAAAGTGATCATGGATAGAGAGGGACAGTGACAACTGCATGCTAACTGCATGGGCTCTTATATTCCGGCGTGTTTTTCAGGTGCTTCTAGGTCACTGGAAGCAGTTTGCTCTACAGAGCAAGGGGTTCTGAAGCCAGTGCAAGAAAAGCAGCATGGAGGAGCCTCTCATCCTCAAACACACAAGTCTTTTGTGCAGAGTTCAAACATTATGATGGATGACAGAAAACCTTAAAAATAGCTTTGAGGTGGCAGCTGGAATGGAAGGCCCCTTCACTACATTCCTGTTGATGTCCACTGATGCCATACCCATCTGTCTGTTTTTGTTCCTCCCTTTTCATCAGAGCACCAGGAATACCCACAATACTCCTGACAGTCTATACAAGTCTCCAAAATCCACAGCCCAGACTCTACACACAGTTCACACAATTTAGGTGGTCCTTACTGTTAGAGACTGTGAAAAGTGGAATCGTCTCTCTACTCGAGAATCATTGGGCAATTTGAAAATGATCTTGACACTTTCAGGGTCATCAGGGGAAGGTTCAGGGGGTAGGCACTCCAACTTCTTTTCTTTTTCCTCCTGTAAATTCTGTAGAGATACAAAGCAAAGATGAGACTATGGCTCTAGCAGGGAAATAGGAAACAAGAAATACAAAGACCAAATAGGTTTGTCATGCAGTCAGAATAAAAAGCAATGGCTAATCACCATATAACAAAAACAAAAACCTCTTGGCAAGAGTCAGAAACAACCTGGCTCAAAAGTATTACTACATTACATGTATTATTTATTGACTACGTTTAGGTATTTAACTATTTGAGAAAAAAGGTAATGGTTAAAATATACAATCGTCAAGTAGTCAATAGATAAAAAAAAGTAAGAATGAAATGCCAAAATCGCCAATACTAGTACTAAGAATGAATATTTTTAAGCTATTGTGAATTAACAGCATTTTGACCTGCTAATGTTTTATTTATTTAGCGTAGTGGTTATGAATCGGGCTGCGAGCTGCAAGGTCAGCAGTTCGAAACTACCAGCTGTTCTGCGGGAGAAAGATGAGGCGTTCTGCTCCCGTAAAGATTTCCAGCCTCGGAAACCCTGTGTAGGGTTGCTATGAGTCGGAACCGACTCAACAGCACATAACAACAACAATGTTTTATTATACTTAATTTTCACAGAACAGAGCCATTCTACCCGATCTTTCCTCAATTTTATTTTTTTTCTAAATAATTTGGTCTTTTTGTAAATAATTAAAATATAAGATATTTTAAATGGCCCATATTCCTGTCAGTTTATCTAGTATTTGTTTTTCTTTCACACTTATGAAAAGACTGAGGTGGCAAAATACCCACATGCTGGGGATCCCCAGGTGTCAAGACAAGGTCCATTACCTGTCGCCGTCTCTCCTCGGCCAACTTTTGCTGCTGCACCTCCTCTTCCTTCCGCCGTCTGCGTTCACGCTCCTCACGTTTCTTTCTTTCTTTCTCTTGGTCAGCCCTCAGAGAGGCCAGGTATGCCTCATCTTGCTGCTGCCTCAGCACCTGGGTCTGGTTTCTTTCTTCCCTGTGGACAGATTAAAACCATAGAAGGAAAACAGTCATTTTACAAAGTCCACCCTTTTTTATACTGAAATTGGGGTGCAGGGGAGGAGGGAGGCGTTATTTAAAAAATAATAATCCTGGAAGATGACTATTTTTACCCTACCAAAAGATTTTAAAAGCCAAATATGGCAGATTGATATCCCCCCACAAATTAAAACAAAAATCTCACAGCATTATTGTTAGCAAAAGATCAGTAAGATACTTTTCTGGTAAATATCCTTTTGATGATTGCATCTGGCACTATTGTCTTCATAAAATTTAAAAACCACACACAAATGCACATTATAAGATCTAAAATACGTGCCCACATATATTATTCAGTGTTGCACTAATCAAAGCTAAAACTTTTTAAACATTTTTGTGAATTTACTGTTATCGCCCTTTATTGCTAAAAGACAAACGTCTTTTAGCAGGAACAACTACTCTAGTCACTCAGACTGCTTCAATAGATAAATATTTCTTAGTATTTAGAATTTTGTAGTTTTTCTTTGTAAAGTTTACATGCAGTAAAAAGCACAGGTCTTAAATGTATAAATCAATGAATTTTTTAAAGTTTCTTCAGTAAACACTGCTCACCATAACTACTACTCCTCCAATCAAGACATACAACAGTCCCACCACCCCACAAAGTTTCCTTTCCTGCACATTTTTACACGGCCAAAATCATATTATTCTTAGTTTGTATCCTGTATTTTTGTAACATACAACAAGCATTTTCCCATGTCATTAAAAACTTACCACAAAATTTATGTTTGGATAACTTTCTTAAGGATATTTTAGTAGTCATTATATCTCAAAAGTCTTATTATACATATTTGTATTGTCTGACCCAGAAACTGCACTTTCAGGAATTTAAATTTTAGTCTAAGGAAATCATCACAAATTGTTAAAAAAAAGAAAAAAGATTTCCAGTGATTTTTTTTTTTTATAGCAGTAAAAAACTGAAATCAATTTAAAAGGTTCAACAGGAGAGGCAGGCTGGCTAAATTAACATATTTTAGATAACAGAATGCTATATGACAAAAACAACAAGGCAATATAATATTTAATAAGGAGGGAAAATGTTTTATTATTATTATTATTGCATGAAGTTAGGTGTCATCAAGTCAGTTCTGACTTCATCGAAACCCTGGACAGAGTTTCTGAGGAATGGCTGGTGGGTTTGAACTGCCGACCTCATGGTTAGCAGTCTAGTGTTTATCCCAAGAACACACCAAGATCCCTTGTTGCATGAAACGACTTATAGAAAGCATTATCCCAATTTTGCCAAAAAAGTATACATGTGCATGCATCTATGAAATATTAAATAAATTAAAAAAAAAAGACAATGAAAAAAGTTGTTAGGATCATGGATGAATTTTATTTTTTCTTTTTCTAAAATTCATGTACAGTATTACTGGAGGGAATTACTATCACTCTACATTTTTTTATCTTTAAGTTCTTTTGTACTCTATTTTGAATCATACCCCTAAAAAAAAATTAACTGATGTGAAATTATTTACATCAGTATTTTAATACTAAATGGACAAGCCTTTTTTAAGCTGCCTATGACAGAAAAAGACGTCAGTATCTGTAGAGCTAAGTCAGCCACCAAATCTACAGCTGGTCTCTCAGTTCAAATACGGAACTAACGTGTACCTTTCTAGGCGTTCTGACACCAGGTAAGTCTGGTTTGCGTCCATGATAAATGTCAGTTGGTTAATGAGGTCATCAGGTTGAATGAGGCCTTCTAAGCGTCCCACCACAGTCATTCTCCGATCCTTTAGCATAATCATGGCCAGGAATGGATATGTGTTCTCTCGCAAAGCCTGGGATACTGACAGAAAGAAGAGCCAACAGGATCAAGGGCAGGACTTGGGGATAAAACAGATGAACGCTTAACCTCTCCACAGCGAGTAAGAGAGAACTGCTTTAATCCCAGTGGGGAAAGAAGGAGGGGGTCATTTATTCCCCGCCTTTCTCTTTTCCTCCTAATTTTGTAATCATTTTTGTGTCTCTATCCCCAGGGGACTGAATGGAATTAGGATGGGCTTTCCTGATGGGGTGCAATGATGATGCTGGGGAAAGCTGCAAAATTCTAAGATAATGTCTACTTGATAGTAGGAAAACGATCTATTAAGAATCTGACTATTGCTTAGCATACTGTTCCCTTAAGGGGGCAAGTCTCAGCCAGATGCCGTTGGTGCGCAGCTCCACCCTCCTTTCCTTTTCTTCCCCTTGCCTAATCCTTTCCTTTACCTTTTTCTCATGTCTTTCCTCACTTCCCAAAATTCTTAGCTACTCTGCTCCAATGGAATTTAGAAAGTTGGTCTATAAATAACCAACATTTTATCATAGAATAGTTTTTTACCTGTTTTTCTTACGATTATAAAGGAGATTTTTTTTTTTAAAGCTTCTATGAAAAATACCCCTGATCTTCTCTCTGCCCCACCCAAAGTTTTATTAGAATGACAAAATATGTGCTGCAGGATCTGATTAATCAGATGTTTATTTAAAATATATATATATATAACAAAGATTCACATTACAGGATGTAGGGAAAACGTGCTTATCATGGACTCCTACTGGGACCTAGCTGAGTGCCTGGCATGCTAGGATACACTCAAAGCCTGATAAACAGTAGCTGCAAAGTGACTACACTTGTCTTTACTGGATGCACCTTTATATATCAATTTCTAAAAATATCAAATAAGAGTTAATGTCAGCTAAGATCTGAACTTTTTCAAATCCGTATCAGCACTCAAGGCACTCCAACAAATAACTCATTGTGCAAGAATCTGTCAGAATTGCTGATGGAGAGAATAAACTCTCCAATAAAAAGCCCATTAAGATAGAAGACAATCTGCAGGCCAGGACTGAGTGTTTTAAAAATACAATAAACTCTGGCAACGGTTAACTGTAAAGAATGGGCTCTAGGCATAAAGCTGAAAAAAACAAAGAATGGGTTTTGGACTCAGACACACCTGTGCTCATTTCAAAACTTTCTGTGGTCTTGGGCAAATGACTTACATGATCTGAGCCTGCTTCCTAATCCATCAAGTGGAGCTAATACAATCCCTATCTCTCAAGACTGTTGAAGATTAAATAAGATAATGTATAAATAACAACTAGCATTTTATCTACCACTAAAAAGAATTGCAATGTATAGCATATCTTTCCAGACCATTGCAAAGATACCCAACAATCTCAATAGGACAAAAAGAAACCCAACTTACCCCTGTAGCCCTCAGGTTTATTTGTGGAGCATGCCCAGAAGAGCATCCTGGTGTTAATAAGTGCAATAACTTCAGGTGCACAGAGTGTGTTGCTGTGGAGAGGGATGAAAAGGACATTAAGAGTGATTTGTTAGTTACAAACTATCATCACATAAGATCCAAAGAGAGAGAGTTCAATTCCACTTACCGACAGAACTCATCAGAGTCCTGGTGATCATCACCATGAAGGTAAACCAAAAGAAAGCGAAGCTCCCGCTTGGCATCATTAAGCGCCTGTGAGAAACAAAGATAATTAATTATGATGACTGTGCCTTAAGCTTTTAATTAGGGTGAGTTTCTAATGGCTACAGCTATGTGTTTAGGAACAACAACAACAAAAAAAAAAAACACAGGAAAATGGTCAGCAAGCAATCAGAACACTCCTACTTTGCACCCTTAGCATTTTTTCCCCTACAGACAGTACATGCTAACAAGCTTTAATGAAAAAGTTTTAGTGTTGTTACAGGATTTAAAATACATCGGACACATGAGGATAGATAGGCTGACGCAGAAGTCCCCAACAAATTGCAGAAAAGCCAACTATTCCCACAGTCTAAAGGAAGAAAAACAAAACAGGAGTATCTGACTACAGGAAAATGGAGGTAAGAATTCTGCTACAGTTACATCCATGTAAATTAAAAATAACTGGGAAGGTGAGCCTGATGCCAGGTCACATATCAATCAGGTGGGGATGAGGGACTATAGGACCCAAAGGCATTCTAAAGAGCACAGGTTTTTAAAAGATCTTCAAAGACAAGGCTAGTGTCTAAGAGTCTTGTGTATGCTTTTGTATTTGCACAATCCTGAGCACATTATCCTTCCAGGAAGATTTCCTGAATGACCAATGGTGGTCTACCCTCAGAACACAGTCAAGACAGCACATGAGAGCTCTCCATCTATTTACTGCTGTATTTCTATCAATGAGCTTAGTGCCTGGCACACGCTGTTGTTGAGTGCTGTCGAGTCGGTTCTGACTCACAGTGATCCTGCACAGAGTTTCAGAAGAGCAGCTGGTAAGTTTGAACCACCCACCTTATGGTCCAGTGCTTTATCCCATAGTGCCACATATTTCTCGCAATGAGCACAGTGGCTGGCATATAGTAGGTGTTTAATGTTTGTTGACAAATGCTCTGATGGTGCAGTGGTCTGTGGTCAGCTACTTACTGCATGAGAGAAAAAAATGAGGCTACCTGCTCCTGTAAAGACTTATAGTCTCAGAAACCCAAAGGAGCAGTTCTACCCAGTGCTATAGGACTGCTGTGTTGGAATGCACTGGATGGCAGGGTTGGTTTCAGGTTAATGACAGTGAGTGGGGTGGAAGCAGCCAGTGGGGAGACTATGGGTAAAAAGAGCTATGGGAGAATCAAAGCAGGAAGCCTCGGTAAATATTGCTCCCTTTTCTCCAGGAACTCTGAGGAGGCTGCAGTATGGAAGGAACCACACTTTGCCTATGCCCACAGAGGTATTTCTACATTTTTCTCAAGCAAACTAGAGAGAAGTCTAACATGACTCTAATTGTACCCCCAAGAAGTAGTAATAAAATCAAAGGTCTGTTGTAGCTTGGGTTGAGTGAAATGTGTCTCCTTGGACTCAACATATGTCTATGTCCTCATTCAATTCTGTGAGGGAAAAATAGAATTTGGCCTTGCCCTCAAGGGCTTACAGCTCTGGAAAAGCAGTTAAGACATAAACATAAATAACGATAATATAAGGAAGAATGTGAAATTGCTATTTGTAAAAAAAGAAAAAGCTATGGGAGAACAACAGGAAAATTACTGTTTTAGATTGTGAGGTAGGGTAGCAGAGGGCATAACACTCAAGCTAAAGCAGGGGAGTGCTATGAGTTGGTTGAAATATGGGCAAGATTCCAATTTGCAAAAATGTGTGAAGGCATTCCAGGTGGAGGGAACAGCAAAAACAAAGGCACAGAGTTGGGACAGTACAGAGTATGCCAGGGAATGGTTTAGCTGGAACCTAGGGTATAAGAAACAAGTCATTCAAGTAAAGGTATCTAAGGGAGGTTGGGATTCGATCAAGGAGGGCCCAGCTACAAGGTTGGTCTTTTTTGCTCCTGTTGTAGGTAGTGAAGAGTTACTTAAGAGTTTTAAGTAAACATTCGACATGATCAGTGCTGTGTTATGCTGTCTTCTGAGGATAGAATCATTACCAATAAACTGGCATCTATATGGTTCATGGCACTGACCTGGCTGTACGTTCCCTGGTAGAAGACAGGGTGTGCCCGCCCATATTTCTCTTCAAAAGAGTGCATAAAGGAAACAATGTCCCCAACAGGGTCTGTGACCCGACTGCGAGGGTCAGGCCGTATAAAACGAAGAGCAAACCTGGGGAGGAAGGAATAAATATCACATGAATCGGGCTTACTATGGTGTACACAGAGTGGGCCAGTGATTTCTATAACAGGGCCAAAATCATGGCAGCACAAGGTGAATGGTGTGTGAGTAGACCACAAACCTAAGGGTAGAGTCTGACTCAAAAGCTGCAAAGCAGCATAGCAGCAAGTGTCACTCGACTGCTTGTTCAAGAAACTACTAGGATCACAAAGGCCAACACTGCCCTCAATACATCTGGAGTGCTTTTTGCAGAAAAATGTAGCACTTAAAAAACCAGAAAAGACAGTATTCAAAGAGCTCATGGGTGAGTCTATGTCTCCAGGGTCTCCTGAATGACAAGAATACAGATAGCCACTAAGTCACATGTGATTATGTAATTTAAATTCATTAAAATTCAGTTCTCAGTCACACTAGTCACAGTGCTCAATAGTCATATGGTTAGTGGCTTCCATAATAGACAGTATGGATATAGAATATTCCCTTCATTTCAGAAACTTCTAGTGAACAACACTATGGACAATAAAGATCAGTCTCTTCCTGGTTATACTATTTGCCTCTCCCTTTCTATATTCCTTGGATTTTGGAATTGTTTGTTCATATTCCCAAGCTATTCAAATTATGGACAGGAACTTCAAGCCTGAACTTGTATTTTAGGGCAAATAAGTTTTGCTTCATGATTGATGGTTCACGGCACCAGAGAGGACTTTATAACCAGAGAGGTCTGTCAGATATGGAGTACTGGCAGCTACTGTAAGGTTAAGGATGCACACTTTTCTAAAAGTTGATCCATCATATTCATGTAGTTGTCATGTCGCCCCATTTTTCATCCTTTGGGATTCAATAGGAGGCAGTGGGACAGAGGCCTGCTAAGTCAGTGTGCTACATAACACTGAACAAACAGCTTGATGACACAGCTGTACTAAAACTAGTAACACATGCCATGTATGCTTTTCTAAGGAAAGCAAACAAATTCATTTATTTGAGGAATTTTCAGCAAAGAATAGGTGACTGAAGTATGCTATTTTCTTTACCAGATTTTGAGTCAATTCCTTATCCTCTCAACATGTTTCCCATGTGTATACAACTTTACTTGGAACTTTTCCTGAGTAATCAAATCAAATTTATTGACATAAACATTCCAGGGCAAATTGAAACCTTAAAATATAAAGTTGTTTAAGTGGGGGAGTAGCTAGATTCTTTTTCAAAAGATTGCTATTTTGATTATATAAGCAGGTTCTAATGAATTCCCCTGAAATTAAGTATTTTAGGATGATCGTATTATTCTTTAGTCTTCAAATCATGATGAACGGATAGAAGTTTTTAACTTCGTTTCTCATTACAAAAGAGTCCCATGGACTAGATACTTTGGGACAATCAGCTTTTCTAAAAAAACAAAAACAAAACAAAAAACAGAGATGTCAATTCTGTCTTCTGTATGATTTAAAAGGTTCAAGTACCCAGTCTTGAGTAAACAGGGATGGAAAGAATCCTAATTAGTTAGTGGGTGACCATTAAGAACTGGCCATTAAGCAGGCAGCCTCATAAAACACCAGAAGGTCAAGGTTAAAGGTTCTGATCTGGCCCTTGTACCCTAGCAGCTGCTGGGCCCTCACTTCCAGCCTCTGCTCCCTTACATTTGGAGGGTGGCACATGTTGCCCTCTATGCAAGTACTCAGTACATATTCCAGTTCTGTCTGCTGGTCTGGATGGGCCATAAACATTTTTGTTCCCCTGAAAGATTAGGCATGGATTCAACTACTTACTATTCAAGCTTTAGACCAGATACCTCAAGCCTGATAGGGCAGCTGGTCAGAATCCACTCAACATTTTCTAGCTCCCAATGATAAACTCTTTGAATGGTACATGAAAGAAGCTAGAAGAAATATGAATGTTATGAAGCAAGTGGGTACATGTATGGAAGGGTTCCAGCATCGGCCACTTATGGGTTGCCAGGGCAGTGTGAGATGTACTGAAGGGGGTTAGCTAGAGAGGTGACACTGGTGTGGGAGCATCTAGGGAGAAGTGGGCAATCTCAGAGCAAGAAGACTGGCTGGAATTATGAGAAGTGAGATGGAGAAGTGACTTGGGGTTGCAGGAAGTATGACATTAGGAGGTAATGGTGGTTAGAAAGGAAAGGGTATGAATATTAATTAGGGATAGTGATCAATGTAGACAGACTGACTCTTGAAAATGATAGGCAAGACTAATTAAAAACAATTCTATTTCATCACATTTGTCATTATATTTGAATAATTTAAAGTCTTCTCATACTATGTTAAAAGACTGCTCAGGAAATATATTCAATCTAATGACAATCTGGCAAGTCCAAAATGATAAGCATTATTCTGATATGAGCTCAAGTTCCAAAGTCTACTCTGTTGCTTCTTACACATAAATATAAAGGTACATACCTAAATATATCAAGTATCGTGTAATAGGTAAACCGGAATGGAAGCATTATCAAGTAATAACCCCATCCAAGCAGCCCCTGAAATTCCAAAAACAAAGTTAAATACTTTTCTCTCAATCCCTAACACTTAACAAAATGGCTAGCTCAGGCTTGTATATTCTTTGTTGTCCTTTCACATTATTTCTTCCTCTACAATATGGTGCCCTCTCTCTGGCCACCTCAACCTTAAACTTACCAATGGCCCTTATCTCATTTTAGCTAATATTATCAAATTTTTATTTTTACATATTTTATTTTTTATTAAATCTGCTTTAATACTTTCTCTGGCGCTACTTATTCTTTCAATATTTATACATCAAAATATGATATATAGAAATAGCAAGAAAGGTAAGAACTATTAGTACTTTGGACATGTATGTATATAAAAGATAAACAGGCATATTAATCACAATGATGTATATCCATATAGCTGTTATCCCAAGTAATACTGTTAACTGTATTATAAATGATCAATCTGTGCTCTTCTATCCAGAATATCAAAAACTATAATTTATAAACTCCATTTTCTAAATAACTGGCAAATATTTCACAAAAAGGTCCAGGGATGGGGTAAATTCTAACTGGTGTGAAATCAATGGGAGTGCTTTCTTTGGGGTCACAAATGCAAACATAGTAATGAGTATTGTTGTTGTTAAGTGCCGTCAAGTCTACCAGAGCTCCTTTTATAGTAATGAGTATAACCCCTATGTAAAAAAGAGAAACCCCAAGAAGTTCTCTGAAGTTCATTATTTGACTTCCCTGGTAGACTAATAGCAATCTGAGGGGATGACTGGCTCTCAATTCATCTCTATATCCCCAGCAACAAAACACAAGGCATGCTGGTACACTCTTCAATGTCTGTTGAATTTTACCAAACAGCCTTTTTGCTACTAGTCCTAAAACTAATTTCAAAGACGTGGCTAAGGCTGCCCACAATTACTCCAAGTACTTCTCTGAAGTAGCTTAATATTAAGTAAACTGAAATAACAAACAAATCGGTAAACAGATTCTAACTGATAAGAGGGAGATTAATTATGTAGCAAACATTTTTAGCGAAGTAAATAAACCTATTGTGTACTCACAGAAAAAAATGAATGGTTTCTGTATCAATTTATTAAATAATCAAGGACATGTGTACACCCACTAAGTTTACCAAGGAATCTGGTGTAGCTAACAGGTTTACATTTTGAGTATTTTTTTTCATTTCTATCATTCACTGATAAACACAGCCAAATAAATAAACCTAAAACACAAAAACGGAAGAAATTTTGCTAAATAACTTGCCCTTGGTTGTGGTCTTGAGACAACATAGCTGTAGATCCTGTGGTCTGCTGTATTAACCTGCAGAGGTCGGGAAGGAGGCGGGTTGAAAACACTTGGTACACCCTCTTGCTCATTCAATCTGTCTTGTACAGCAGCCTGAGATGCAGGAAACAAATAGCAAAACAAATAGTGTTTCAGCAAAACTCAAAGCAACCCAGAAGGAATGAACTAACTATTGCTTGGTGTTTCAAACCAGAATAAAACATTAATACACCAAAAGGTCAAGGAGGTCTGCTAGCGTAGTGGTTACGAATCGGGCTGCAAGCCGCAAGGCCAGCAGTTTGAAACTACCAGCTGCTCCGCGGGAGAAAGATGAGACTTTCTGCTCCCGTTAAGATTTACAGCCTTGGAAACCCTGTTCAGGGTCGCTATGAGTCGGAACTGACTCCACGGCACATAACCACCACCACCACCACCAAAAGGTCACCTATCATTTGTTGTTGTTTTTACGGGCCATCGAGTCCATACTAACTCATAGAGATCCTATGCACAACAGAACGAAACACTGCCCGGTCCTGCGCCAATCACACAATCGTTGCTATGTCTGAGCCCGTTGCTGCTGGCACTGTGCCAGTCTATCTCACTGGGGGTCTTCCTCTTTTCCTCTGACCCTTCACTTTAACAAGCATGATATCCTTATCCAGATAATCTCCTACTAATAATATGCCCAAAGCATGAGAGATGAAGTCTGACCATTCTGGCTTCTAAGGAGCATTCTGGCTGTACATCTTTCCAACATAGATCTGTTTGTTCTTTTGGTAGTCCATGATACTTTCAATATTCTCCCCCAACACCAAAATTCAAATGTATTAATTCTTCTACGGTCTTCCTCATTCACTGTCCAACTTTCACATGCATATGAGGCTACTGAAAATACCATGGCTTGGATCAAGCACACCTTAATCCTCAAACTGACATCTTTGCTCTTCAACGCTTCAAAGAGGTCTTGTGCAGATTTGCCTATTGCAAATCTTTTAAATCAACACAACTTCAATAAGCACATCTGCTGTAGAGAGAGGCACTGTGCAGGGGCAGATGCAGGAACTGCCTGGATTACATTTATGTTATCAAGCACACTACTATTATAAAATGGCACTGTGATTTAGGGAGGCTGGTGTAAGGTGTCTCACTGTAGGCCCATGAAAGCTACTTACTTACAATACAATGTAGACTGTGCCCCTGCAGTTGTGCAAGGGGACAGTCCTGATGGGGTAGTGTTTGATGGAGGGCTTTAGAGTAATTCATGTGAATTCAAGCTCAGAAAGTCTTTTGGTGTGTAAGTCTCAATTTCCAACACATTCACGAAGGTCTGTTTTCTTAGGAAGGTCTCTCAGAAGACAACGGGAAAATATAAGTGGCTTATGTACCCTGGGCTTACAGATACACAAGCTGAACGGGTATGGAAGGGAGAGTGGGAATACACCCACAGATATGGGAAAACAACCCACAAACATCTGGATGATGTGGTTTTGTCTTATCTTTGTCCTAAATCTTAATAAAGGGATCTCTATAAAATGGGGATGGGGATGTGGTGGTGGTGAACAAAGTAGGGAGGAAAAGAGGCTTACAAACAGAAAATTATTTTGTAAATCTAAAGTGGGAAATACAGCGCTCATGATACTTCACCCATATAGGCTTTAAACAGCTCCTGATAACTACAGTACAGTACAATACCAGGTCCAATCTATTTCTGCAATCTTATTTAAAAATAGAGAATATATTCACACAGTACAAATGTAGGAAAAGTCTTCCTCCTCCTATTTTCAGCTACCCAGTTCTTTCTCTGGGAGGCAAACCACTAGTATCTCCAGGTTACTGTAAAACCTTCTAGAGATATCACATGCATTCACAAGCATATCTATATGACTATCATCTCATTTCCCCACATACTTCTATGGTGTTGCAAACAGTATGTGCTTAACTACAAACCTAAAGGTTGGTGGTTCAAACCTATCTACTGGCATTGTGGATAAAAAGTCTGATGATCTGCTTCTATAAGAAAACCTTTTGGAGCAGTCCTGTTCCGTAGCACATGGGTTTGTCATAAATTAGAATAAACCTCGTGGATTTGGTTTGGTTTCTGAACTCTACGAACTTAAGTAGGTGATCACTTAAGTTATTTTCAATCTTGTTACTAAAAAAAGAAGAAAATGCTGCAATAAACAATCACATGCATCCCAACCAATCTTTCTGGTGAAATACATCACCTGTAATTACCTCTGTGGCATTGTAGGATAAGCACTGGACCACAAGGTTGGTTTGAACAGTTGGTGGTTCAAATTTACCAGCTGCTCCTCAGAAACCCTATATACAGGGTCACTATGAGTGGGAACTGACTCAACAGCATTTAACAACAACAAATTATCTCTCTTACTAGAAATATAAGAAAGTTTGATTATATCTAGAATTGGTGAGGGTGAAGAAAATTAGACATTCTCATATATCATTGTTGGTAGTTTGACCTGAGCAACCTTTTGGGAATGCTGTTTGATAAAAGCTATCTAAATTTTAAATTAATATATCTCATGTCACAATACATCTTTTAAACACCTTTCAGCCACTTCTAGAAATTAACTGTTGAGAAAGACCAACAAGTATTCTGAGACGCATGAAAAGGTTTGTTCTCAGCAGCAATGCTTATAAAAACCAACACTTAAAACGGATCCAACTAAGCAGGGATGGGTGAGGTGAGATAGTGAACAGGTGTGAGTGGCAGAGATGACACAGACAATCTGGATAACTATATCATGAGACTATCAGACAATTCAATGCAGACACGTATATTTGAAAAACTTGTTTCCCATTACTTTTCTGAGTTTGGTGGTACTATCAATGAATGATACAGAATGAAACGTCAATATTGAGAAGAGCTACATTCATTTAATGAACCTGTATTTTCCAAATAACCAATGCATAAAGTTACAAAGCTGTGCATTTGTAAAAGATCCTTTCAAAGAATGTACTAGACAGACCAATAAATTTTAATTTAACAAAAGATGCAAAGTTCAACGAAAAGTTCATATTCTATGTTGTAACTACGTTTTTTCTTTTTCCCCTTTACTATGTGCACTTTTACTGAGCTGGGCAAAGTCAGTGTAGAGTGAAGCTTCTGGCTGCCACCGCAACTCAACCAACCCAGGGAGACCAAAAGCTTTCATACTTCTAAAGTCAGGGGTCAAAAAAGGAGGGGTGCTACAATGACTGACCATTCAAAACAAAACAAAAAGAACAACTATTTAAGGCCTAAGATTTAAAAAAAAATTAGATTACATAATTTACACAAAAGCAATGCTATGGCTTCCCCCCAGTGAGGACTTAGAGGAGGTGGGGGAGGACTGGGTCCTTCCTCCATAGAGAAGCAAGGGGGGGGAGGGGGGGAGGCTTTTTAAAAGGCAGGAGCTTCCTGTCACATGGCATTACACATTATTTCGAATGACTAATTAAACAACAACAAAAAAAGCAATGTACAATTATATAATCAAAATCCTCGACTACATTGTAGAACTTTGGGGGTGATCACTCTAGCTGCTGTTAACCCTCAGCATTCTAGTTTCTAAATCCTGAGTCAAGTGCCAAAAAACAGAACGACACACCCCCCCCCAAAATAAAACTCCAAACAAAATTAATAAAGCTATGCTAATTTCATCTTTTATTGTTTCTGTGAACGTTAGGTTTTTGTCAAGAAAAGGGTGCAATGCAACTAAGGACAGTCCGCCTAGAAGCATTTTCCATGAACGATGTTGGGGCTCAGCATACTCTTGCTTGCTGATCTACATCTGCTGGAAGGTGGGTAGTTAAGGCCAGGATGAAGCCACTGATCCACACAGAGTACAAGCATTCAGGAGGAGCAACAATCTTGATCTTCATGTTGCTGAGCGCCAGCACTGTATTGACATACAGGTCCTTCCGGATGTTCACAATACACTTCAGGATGGAATTAAAGGTAGTTTCATGGATGCCGCAGGATTTCATTCCCAGAAAAGAGGGCTGGAAGAGGGCCTCAGGGCAGTGGAATCTCTGGTTGTCGATAGTGATGACCTGCCCATTGGGCAGTTTGCAGCTCTTCTCCAGGGAACAGCTGGAGGCTGTGAGGGCCATGTCCTGCTCAAAGTCCAGGACAACATAGCAGAGCTTCTCCTTAAGGTCACACATGATTTCCTGCTCAGCTGTGGTGGTGAAGCTGTAAGCCTCTCTCCATAAGGATCGTCATGAGGTAGTCTGTCAGGTCCCGGCCTGCCAGGTCCAGATGCAGGATGGTGTGGGAGAGGGCATAGCCCTTGTAGATGGGTACAGTGTGGGTGACCCCATCACCAGAATCCATCACAAGCCAGTGGTGCCCCGCCTGGATGGAGACATACATGACAGGGGTGTTGAAGGTCTCAAGCATGACCTAGGTCATCTTCTCATGGTTAGCTTTAGGGTCCAGGGGGGCCTCATCAGCAGTACAGGATGTTCCTCAGGAGCAACACGCAGCTCGTTGTAGAAGGTATGGTGCCATATCTTCCCCATGTTGTCCCAGTTGGTAACGATGCAGTGCTCAGTGGGTACTTGAGGGTCAGGATGCCTCTCTTGCTTTGTGCCTCATCTCCCACATAGGAGTCCTGATTCAGGTTCATGCCCACCATCATACCTTAATATTGGGGCACCTTGCGATGGAAGGGAAGATAGCCCAGGGGAGTGATGTCACCCACGAAGCTGGCCTTACCCATGCCAGAGTCACTGTAGACCACGAACCCAGCAATATCATCATCATCCACGGTGAGCTTGGGGGTGGTGACTGTGAACCAGCGGCAGTGACTGTGCAGCAGTGAGAGACTGGTACTTGCGGCATAGATGTGGTCTCAACTGTGCAACTACCTTTTAAGAAACTAAAAATATTTGTCTGCTCTTAGTGCAGTCTCAAATCAGAATACTCAGTTATCTGAAAAGGCTATTGAAATACTGCTACAATTTCCCATTATATCGTTGTAAAGTTCCTTCACCCATTTCAACTTCAACTACATATCATAAAAGATTGACTGCAGAAGCACACATGAAAGTCTAGTTGTTTTCTATTGAGAACATTAGAGATTTGCAAAACATAGCTATCTTCAAAA